TTCCTGGCTACTTCACCAGTTTGCATATAAACCGGGGGAAGGTCCACTTTTGTGACTGAGTCTCAGAATAGCCTAGAAACATTGAGGACGCTAATTTTAAGAGTAATTTCTTTGATATTTATAAACAAGTGTTTGTATTTTTTGATTGCCACTGAAGATCATTGCTTACACGAATTAGATTCGAAGTTTCAATTTTAGCAGTAAGAGCTCTAAAATAGTTAGTGTCTATCAGCTTAATCAAATAAACGACGCAACTAATGACAACGCGTACCAATTCCATTATGTTCTTTACGGTGAAGAGCTTTCAGGTGAATCCAATGAGTTTCACAAACGTTTGCCGACGAGGTCTATAGAAATACCGCTCCAATATCTTTGTTTTTATTTATATCAAGTATTTCCACATACAACCTCTGAGGTCCTTAACGCCCAAGTCAATTTGACTGTGCAGTACCAACTAATTTGCTAAAATGTCTGCCAACTAGTTATTAGTTTCCAGCAAAACATCGAAACCCAGGTCATCATATTTTGTCGCCTACTAGCACAGATAGGCAGTGTCATTTGGTTAGAAACTGGATTTATTTCATCAAATGTTGCAGATTTATTTTCACACACGCCATCTACGCATATATTGATTTAGTTTCGATAAACATAAATATGATCTGTGCTTCCTCTGGTCATTCCCACTTTGAAACCGATATATATCTGCACATTATCCAGCATCAGACATTCTTAGCAGTACTTCACTTATACGGCCATTCGAATATAAGCGTTGCTTTTCTTACCGGCTTTAACCATCGAACGTCCATATCCAAAGGTAGACCCCTTAACGGCGGCAGAACTTCGAGTACTTGATGATCTCAAAAATTTTACCGATCGGTCAAGCGTAAACTTACTCAGACGATCAACAGTTTCTTTAAATACCTTTTAAGTAGCAAATAATTAGAAACATTTAAGTACACCCGCTTAAAATGTTTCAAAGACGTACTTTAAATAAAAACCTGAGATATACTTAGATTGAGACAATGTCGCATGCAAAAATATCAGAAATAAATCTTAGCGAATAAGCGTTCTTTGCTAATTCACCATCAGGCTGGTACACACAACGAATGAATGAGAGAGGCCCAACAATCGCTTACAATACTGGTTTAAAGGTCTAGGTGCTTTGTCCCAAAGCAAACAAAAATGTATTCAGTGTTGTCTACACCAAGGGGTCAACTTTTCAGGGACGAGGGCAGAACAAGTGGCTCGACAATTGTCTTATGAACACACACGTCATTGCAATTAGGGCGGATGCGGATTGTCATTCACTGAGTTTCTACCTCAGCTATGTGCTGGTAAAATGAGATTTACTGTCTAGCCCACAATGATGACTTCAGTAGAGGTAGTTAGCTGCTAGCAAGCATCGGCATCTTTATGTGCGATAAATTTAAGCGAATGTCCGCCTATGCGCTGCTACTAGAATACTTCATATTATTTACCAACTGTACAAGTGACCAGTGATGTCCATATACACTGTGCCTGGGATACAACAATGGGGGAATATCCAACATACCTTTATGACTAAAACCAATGGTTGACTGTTTACTTGAGCAAAACCATACTGCTGTTTGGCACAATGACATTCCGGACAAATCCAAACCAACCAAATTCCTGTTGTTCATCAGCTTGATCGGACCAATTGGTGACTTTGGCGAACTTGAACACGAGCCAGAGTAGACTGTAATCATTTGTTGGTGGCTTTTCGTTTGTACTAATGGTTTCGACTTCATCTGCAACACTACGGCAAACGCAGACTCTATTTGCACGACCACCGCATTGCACCTCCCCAAGCAGGACGCCGCAATAGAAACGTCTGTGGAGCAATGTAGCCTGATTATCAGCGACGAACACCATGAGCATGAGTAGTTTCATACTTGGTCGACATTTTGCATGTGGTCAGCAACATATATCTAATCATAGAACTGTTGCTTTGCAGAAATATTCAACAGAACACTTTTGCATCTGATGTTACTCTACGCTGCAAAGTACTGGGTTTGGGTGTCTTCCTCGAAACAGCAGCTAACCTATTAGATTGCTCCGAATTTTCATGCCATTTAGCGCAGTTGACTAAAGGCAATTTAGTAATCTTCGTAGCGTCGTTATCTGGAGTATGCGAAGTACTGGTTTTAAAATTATTGTCTCAGTTACGAGCGCACCGTCAATTGGCTGCGTGACATCAGACGCTTGTTTTAATGTCAAGTTCGCCTCTGCCTCGCTGTAGTAAAGTATTGTCTTCCCGGATTTTCAGACTTTGGAACGTTGCGTTACACATTCTTGCATTGCTTTCCCGAATAATTTTTTTACTCATTAATTCATTTTCAAACAGAAAACTTATGAGACAAATGAAACATGTTAACTTTTTGTGCAGTCTGATGCAGTTGGTCAAATAAGATTGTGTCAGACGCGCCTAGGATCTTTTGAACGGTGTTTAACAACAGTTCGTCCGACACATGAATAGTAGTGGCAGTGAACCGCCGACTCGGCTTGTGCCTTGGTCGATATTGAGGCTATCACCCCACTGCACTGCTTGTGATGCCTGCCATCAATCTTCAAAGACTATTTCAATAGGCAGCTAGACTTGACAAAGGTTACATCATGGATGTAGTTTCTAAACCCACAAAAAAGCTTATACTATGTAGTTTTAACTGATGGAAGCACATTTTCTGGTACTTTTACCATACCAACAGAAAACATGGAGAAATCTGCTATTCCACCTACACCCTTCTGAGCATCTTTTAGCACTGCTTTCAGCCACGACCCTTTTATTTGCTTCCCAAACTTCTGAAACACAATGGGTTTCTGCTGGCTTGGAATAAATTTTTCTTCATTAAGCAGTTGTACACTACAAAATTGAGAACACAGCCGATACATTCTGTAATTGTCCTGCAGCCGTGTTGCATAAAATGGTTGGCGACATCCGCTTTCGCATTTGCCTGTCACTATGGCCAGCCACAGGACACCTGCGCCTACAGAGGGACCATGGGTGACTTGCGCTGCACCACCCATATCTCCAACCACACACCCCATATCCAGTGTAAACCCGAAGGAATAAGACCGGGAGGCATGTGGATGAGAGCCACGTTTCATCAATGGAGCCGACCCACACTCCTTCACAGGCAAACACAAGCACGCTGTATTTGGGAATCAATCGCACACAAGGCGGTGGCTGGACCGTAGTCCGCTCTACACTGAGTGCATGGAACCACATTTCGAGCCTAACACAACCACAAGGACCGTGCACCCTTTCGCCTCCATCAAAGACCAACTGTCTCCTGGAGCCAGTATGGACGAGCTGGTGGGTACTAGACAGGTAGACACCTTGTCAACATGCACATCAAGCGCAGCCACACCGGGGATGTCAAACAACAGTCATGCACTTGAAATGACATTCTCAAATAAAATATATCTGTCAAAGCATACGGCTATGCCGACATAACTCTTCGCTGAATTAGTATATGAAATAAGTTGGTTAGCAACGAATCCGCGATAAGTGCAAAATGTCCACAAGTTATTTAAAAAATGCTCCAAACGCAATAAAGTTAACTAAGGTAAGCTCAATTAGTGTAAGCAACCTGGCCAGTTAATAGATTATTCACGTAGGTAGAACAAGCCAAATAAAGTGGAATGAAATGTATCCAGTTAAAAAGACCTAGTTTAAGTATAAGTTGGTTTAGCCCAACTGCGGTGGGGAAGCATCATGAATGCAATATCAGCCTCAGCATGGGGCACTGTGCATAAAATAGTTGTTATACACACAGAATGGACAGAGTAGCACAGTACGACTGTTTAATATATAACCCATAATGATGTTAATTTCGCACACAACCATGCCTTTGAATATGCGAATATGTGAGAGCACTGGTTCCTGCGACGTCATGTCTGACAACTTTTATTCTCTCAGTCCAATCGAAAGCTCTGCATGGATCCTTACTAAGTAACAACTAGACAGCTAATTACTTCATCATGCTTACCTGATTTAAGTAATGTTCTCCCATCTTCGCATACTTGTCTACCATATTATTCGAGAAACATCTGTTGGTAGCGACGATTCTGACGGCAGAATACGTTGGCGTATGAAGATTGTGCTGTGTTAGTAGAATCAACACCGAATCACCTCCATTATGATGAACCCTTTAGGCGTAGAACAACTCCAATGGTTAACACATAGTTGGTGCATGTTTTACTGTGACCGCATCAGTATCCAGAGAACCGAGAAAAATGTGTGAACTGCAATGTGCCAGTCTCTCACCTTTTTGTTTCACCTGGGTGCAAACAAGAGAAAAGGTTGTCTAGACCCGTAAATAATGAGTTCACAATACATTCCCGCAATTTAACCATGCACAGTGATGAGTTATTCAGATACATCCAGTCTAGTTCTTCATCTACATGGCCGGCTGTAAAACAACTACACCAACATTTGCGGTTAATTAGACAACGGCCGCTTAAGGGCAATGGCGCTGCTGTCGCTGGTGACGAACATGAACCGAGCACTATTTAAAGTACATACATTGGAATCGAACGAGTCACTAATGGGTTGTACGTAGCCATAAAAATGAAGTATGGCTACAGTGCACATGCATTCAGCAGGGGTAACAAAGCAAGTGTATCGGTAAATATGGTTTTACAAATTCGTCTGGACTATAAGTTGAACAAACCGCCGGGTAATACGCGAAAGGCGGTGTGTTCCTTTGAAGTTTCTAGTGGCTGATATCAATAGGCATTATAATATCAACAAAACATTGTGGTTTGGAACACCGCTGCACCGAGATAAATGCTTCGGTTACTCGGTACTTACCTATCTATAGTGTCCGAGTTACCCAGATGTATCATGAAGGAGCGTTACGCTCACTGGTTGACTCGCAGGTGCTACTGATGTGGCGCGACTAATGCGATTACCACTATGCTTCTCATCATTGGTCACCATTAGCTAACAAGGACAGTCCCCGAGAGTACGAGTATACATGTACCCTTTTCGCTTTGCAACCAAACTGCTAGAGTAAGTCCGATGATTGTGGAATATTCACCTTCGGTGACCTATTCGGTTTGGCTTACTGTTTAATGCTGACGCCATTGCTTACGCCTGCAATGATAACATATAATGCTGTTGATAGATCTGTCTCGAACAATCACCTGGGCTGCATGAGTAAGTCAAGTCATCTCACGAAGTTAACAAACAGCTGAGCTGTACACAAGACCGCTATGATGTGGCTGAATCCATGATAGCACTAACAGGTATGGTGACTTCCTCTCTTTCCCGCTCTATCTGTCCTCAAGCTATTATCCATCACAGTCTTTGGCGATATTAGCTGCGCAAGAAAGAGAGACTCTGAATTCCGGTGTCTATACAGAAGATTCACGAACAGTGACATCAGTTCGTTATGCGATGTATAGATAATCTCTATTCCGGCTGCAAACAGCTGTATAAATCGGAAAAAAACCCGGTCCAGTGAACGCTTAAGGCCGGTGCGAGATTTCTCAACAAACTTAGCAAACTGGGTCGATAAGTGCTCGAGTTTGTCCAGTTAGGACAGGCCGGACATCAAACGATTTGTTGATAAGATGATTGTTTATGGGCTGGTTTACTCAGGCGATTTGCCCTTCACCAGTTAGCCCTCGTAGTAAGATATCATGCTCCAAGGAAATTGGCACGCCATTTGTCGCTTACATTCAAAGTCTGGTTGCCAGATCTAGTTACCACTGGTTCACTGCTATGATAATGGGAAATAGATTATAAATAAATAAACGGTATAGTCAACGTGGGCGCGAGGCGTTGCTTAACTGAGTTGTTTGATCAATGTGTACACCGTGATGGCATAAAATAATAAATTGTTTATGTTTCGTACAAAGGACCCCAAATGGGTTTTTGAAGTGATTGGCAGTTTGAAAGTATTAGAGTGATTAAGAACCGGGAACAATAACGTGCAGATTTTACCAAAAGTTCAAGTAAAGTAATACAGCCATCCATGGAACCGTCCCCAGGAGGCCTGTTTCCATGCAGGGTATTCTCTCGATAAGTTTCACCCGCACTTCCATGCCCCAACTGCGTGTGTGCCGGTGTGGCAAAATAGCATGTAAGTCATCACCATTTTAACAGCTATTTTTGTACAAGACGTTTTTATGCGTACATTATGGGTGATGAAGCCTCTGACCGTTCCGTCTTGCGGATCATTCAAGTATGGTGCTTTTTATACGCCAGATAGTCATTGGTAATGTGCCTTGCGCAAGCATAATTTTTAGATATAATCCGTCACCTCAACTGATCAGCCAAGTCGTGCCCAACAGTGAAATAAGAAAGAATATAATTATGAATAATTAAAAACATAGTAATATTAACAATTTTATGCCGATAGGCCAAGCACAGTTTGATGAAAAATATCGGCGAACAACGACGATCCTGCAGAGATTTCAGCTTGAAAGGCGTTGGGTATCGCCGAACCAGTGCGTCGAAGGCGACGAAGACGGTATTGCTTAGATAGGCGTGCAAGAGTGGTTGGAATAATATCACTTATAAATACATACTAAGGAATTCATCAATGTGTAGGTAAAATTATGATATTGAGACAGGGGCTATGGCAACTTTTACTTATATCCAGGACCTTTCCCATAAAGTCATCTAGAGTCATCTTTTGGTCTAGCCTTGATCATCCGTTTGAATTGCGGATAGGTAGTGCAGTTCCTGATTTCGATGGAAGTTTATTCCATAATAACACATATTTTGTTGAGAAAATTTGGAGCGGAGTTTGGTACTACACCTTGCCTATGCAGTATGCTCCCGCTGTCTCTTATTTCATAACGCTTAGGAGTCTGAAAAATATATACTGTGTTTTTCAACTCGATCTTCATATGCAAACTAGCAGTTTTCTGTTCATGTTTCTTGTTAGTACGTAATGTTTGGCTAACATTAGGTAGCTATCTGTAATTTGGTATTTTGTACTGCCCGTAGCCTAAAGGTATCAAACTTGTCTTGCTCTATGGCGGCGCCGGTTCTTGCCTCCGTAGGGGAGGGCGACCCTCTCAGTATCATTAGCCCACGGGCAACCGGTGGCGGTTGCGCGGCAGCGAAGCGTCGGTACTGCGTACCGGCATATTGCTGATACCCTTGTACTGCAGTTACTTTCGTCTACAACGTCAAAATATTATCAATTTACAACTGACCAAGTCCTATGAAGGGTATCAATTTCACTGCTGGCTGGTAAAACTAAAAACAAACGATCTGGGCAAAATCATTCCGCTAAAAGCGTTCTCATCCCTTCATGGAATCATTATCCTTATCGGCAACATTATTCTCAAGCTAGAACTCATACGCACGTATGTAGCGTTCACACATAGGGCGGAAATCACCAATCGCAGCGCCAAACTAATCGGCAAACCGGTGGAAGTAACATTGTGTGGGAATAAAGCACAAATCGTGAGCTAGTGAACATAACCATTACCGTTTACTGTTTCGGTATGTGACCGTTCAAGACACTCAGCAAGCTGTCATGTGAAAAGGGAGAAAGTGGAGCGAAGCAGTGATGTCTTAAGGGGAACTAGTACAGTACGTAGAGGTTAGCTTCCTTAAGGGACTTATGTGGACCAAACTTCCGCTTCCAATGATATGGTTGGCGGCATCCGCTTTCGGATTTGCCTGTCACTATGGCCAGCCACAGGACACCTGCGCGTACAGAGGGACCATGGGTGGCTTGCGCTGCACCACCCACAGCATCATTATACACGTCAGCTAGAGGTGGGAAACACCTCAGCTACTGTGCCGCAATGCATAAAGGAAAAGGAAAATAAATACAACAGTTGCATGCCAGCTGAGCTACCAGCAACGGATAGGCATCGTTCCTGTAAGCTACCAGCCAGCTACTAGGCAAAAAGAAAAGAACGTATTATTTTACCCTACGAAATGAGATCGTAGATGGAGGGCAGGCTAAGAGGGATGGGGAGGGATAAAGAAACTCACAACAGCAACGCCACTGAGGTCGGCTCCTTGCCATGTCAGTAAGTGTATCCAGCCGAACGTGTTCATCGTCTTTTGGACCCCAACCAGAGAGCCTCGACGCTCCAACCGAGGCCAGCTCCGAGGTGAGGGCCTTCATTCCTCTGGATCAAGTTATCGTTTGGCCACCCCTCTTCTTCTTCCATCCACACCCTCGGTGAGCAAACAACGCACGTCGTGGAAGCCGGTGGGCTGGCATGCGCAACACGTGGCCCAGCCATTGGAGCCTGGTGTGTGAAATGACGGTGCTGAGCGGTTCAGTTCCTTTTTCTGTGCCGTAAACAAGGCGTCGAACGCGCTCGTTACTCACGCGATGTTCCCACCAGATGTGAGCCAAATTGCCAAGGCACCGATGGTCGAACGTAACTAGCCTCTTCATGTCCGCCGAACTTAGGGACCATGTTTCGCAACCGTACAGTATGGTCGAACGTACCGCTGCATTGTACACTCTACCCTTCAGTGCGAGAGTAATGTCGCGCCGCCGCCATAGGTGGCGAAGGTTCGCAAAAGCACTTCGAGCTTTCGCTATACGGTTCGTGATCTCGTCTTCGATCCCAAGGGCGCTGATACAACTTCCCAGGTAGTTGAATTTCCTAACGACTTCTAGCTGATCCCCACCAAGGGTCAGCGCAGGAGGCGATCCCTGCCAATCTTGGAGGAACGCTTTGCACTTCGATGGTGCAAAGCAAAGCCCGAAGCGGCTGACAGCCAGTGCTAATCTGTCCAGCGCGGCTTGGCACGTCTGGCAGCTGTCACAGATGAGAGCAATATCGTCTGCATGCTCGAAGTCAAGAAGTCGTTCTCCTGGGAGTAGTTCCCCACCTTCCAAGTCATGTCCTGTAAATGCAATCTCCATGACTTCGTCAATAGCGAAGTTGAAGAGGATAGGTGACAGCGGGCATCCTTGTCTCACACCGCTGGAGATATTAAAGGGTGGCGACAGCTTGCCGTAAGCCCTCACTCTGCCCGTGCTACGCGCGTATTATGCTCGGATAAGATTTATATATTTCTCGGGCACTCCTTTCCTGAGTAGACGATTCCAAAGGGCACATTGATCAGCCGAATCGAAGGCACCTTTGAGTTCGAGGAATACGACTACGGTGGGTCGTCAATATGTTTGACGGTGCTTCAACAACTGACGCAAGGTGAAGATGTGATCGTTGCAGCCATGACGCCGACGAAACCCGGCTTGCTGCTCACGAATGTGGCTTTCACGAGCGCCAATCAACCTGTGAAGAATTATGGAGGCGAGTAATTTGGAGGCGATGGAGATCAGACTGCTTCCTTTTATAGTTGCCGCATTCCGAGCGCGAGCCGCCTTTGAAGATGGGAACAATAACGGAGCGGCTCCAGTCGGTTGGGACAGTCTCCTGCTCCCACGGTTTCACTAGTAATTCATGTAAAGCATCAACAAGAGCAGAGCCTCCGAATTTGAGGAGGGCTGGAGGAAGATCATCTGGTCCCGCGGCTTTGTTCAACTTCAATAGTCCGATCTCACGTTCGACTTCTGAACGAGAGGGTGGATCCAAAGGGACAGCCCACGGAGCATGGCGATCACTGGCCGTCGAAGAATCGAACAATTCTAGCCGATTAAACTGCTTTTCAAAATGCTCAGTCCAACGCTCCAAACGTTTTGACAAATTGTGGATAGGTTGTCCACTCTCATCACAAATTGTTTCACTAACACCAGGTCTCCGGCTGTTCGTTTCCCGTATCAGACAGAATAACTTGCAATGGTTGCCAAGGGCAGCGGCCACTTCCATCTCTGACGCACGATGAGACCACCAAGGTTCGCGGTCTCTCTTCAGGCTAGCACGAAGTCTTGTCCGGAGCTCTTTGCGAGTTCCATTGTGTTCGCTTCCAGCCGGAATATGCCGGCGAGCATCGATAAGTTCCAGAGACCGCGAAGAGACCTAATAACCATGTTGGCTATTTGACATACCACATGAGGATTTGCCTGCTGCTAGTAAGGTCTGATGTGCATGTGACCAGTGGCCATCAATTGTCTCCCG